AAACGTTTATCCATCGTTCCCCTTTTTCTCAATAAACAATGTTGTTTATCATAAGTGTCGTAATCTTGTTTATAATACAAACTTCGTTCCTTACTATTATAACTAGACACTATTAACAATGCTGTTAATAAACTACGAACAGTATTTTAGCTATCAGACAAAAAAAAACAAAAAAAAACAATAACACGAGGACCTGAATTACAATTACGTTATTCAAGGTTAATAATTCCTAGAATACTACGGGCGTTTCTTCCTACGGTTTGTGTCTTGCACAAGTGACAAACCTTTCTATTTTCTTGATAAACTAACATCCTGGAAATTGCAACTTTTAATGTAACTCAATTACCGGTTATGTGTGGGGATGTTGTAATTTCCCACCAATAGTAGTTGTACATTAATACCACGTGTATGGTAAACAAGTAATGTACGACGGGGGGGGGGGGGGGGTGATGATAAAAGTCACATTTTGAAAGTTGAAATAAACTGGAATTACCTATTACGTTATACCACAAAAATATATTGATACACTACTTATTTTAAGAATGTCAAAGTTGACAGAAGGGCACCTTAAACCTAAGCAACATAAATACACAATAGATTTTGTTTTATAGTTTAAAGTTCTACTGTTTGAAATCTTATAAATAATAAAATAAATACACATTGCACTTACATAGAATGATACCAGGAAATGTGTTCATTTTAAAACCATAATGAACCCTTACAACCGTAGTGAAATATTATTATCTTTGTTATTGATTTAGAGCTTCTACTTTGTATAATACCCCCTCTCACACACACACATCTTCGTTAGATTATATCTAATTTTCTTGTATTCGTTTTGATGTACTTAAGGCTTATCAATAACTTAACAGTACACTAGAGACACAAAATCATGCAAATTTCAGCTAAAAATTATATTCGAATGAAGTAGCTAGCTCAGGCCCTGATTTGACAAACACCGCCGCATTCTTGCTGAGTCATGTCACGTGAAGATATTGAAATAAATTTACGCCGCCTATAAAGACGTTTTAGTGGAGGTGCCGGTTAGTTGTATCTAAGGTTGTGGTACGTGGTAGTGAAAAGTCCCTATCAGAACGATTCTTTCTTTTTATCAAACTTGTAGACAGTAGAACGTAAGTATTACTGTTACTAAATAATTTACATGTTTGTTTAAAATGTGCGGAATCTTTTCTTTAATCTTTCAAGGAATAAAATCTATAATTTAATAATTAGTGTTGTTACTTTTCGGTTCCAATACTAGTACTTCGTAGTATTAGTAGAACTAATCCTGGATCTTTTACTTTAAAAATTTTTGCGCTTCATGGTTTTAATAGTTAATTGTCGTAATAATAATAACATGACTAGTGGTAGTAAGTTTTGTGATACTATAATTTTAAGTATATTGTAAAGCGTTTAAGGTTAGTGGTAAAACTGGCGCCAAAATGTCGTACTTGTGCAGTGGTAACTTGCACGTAGTGTGACATAGTATTTGTGGGCATCTTCGATAAGTTTAATGTATACAGGTGCCCAATGGTTGGGCAAGTATTAATACCTAACTCGCAATAATATAGTCGTTTGTTTCTGCTACTCTCGAATTGTTTTATTAACGCCTAAATGCAATGTATCTTAAAAATAAAATTCATCCTAGATGTCGCTAGTAACAGTAAGTGGATTTCGCCGACAAAGCTACACTGTAAACGGCATCCATAACTATCGCCATATTTGGAAAATGTTCATAAAAACGTTAAATGGAGCATGTAATGAGCTTTAAAAAATGTTTCCATTGTACATACGTGTTTGACTACACAAATTTGAGGAATGAAAGCAGGAGATCAATCGGCAAGATATATGGAGATGTTAATATAGCTAAAATTCTAGCAGAATGTTACAATATAGCTGAAGAAACTTTCAGAGTAAAAACTGAAAATATTGAAAACAGATTTTTATGTAAACACTGCTTCAATACTGTAAAAGCTATTTCTGTGAGTCATTCTAAATTGCAACAACTTACAGCAGACTTGAAAAGTAAAGTTGACTGCCTGTTCACAAATAAATGTCTTGCTGGGTTCTAACCCTGTCAGTCCTACTGAAGATTGTAACCGATACAGATGTTTATTGCACCCTTTAAAGTCTGGGTGTACACCAAAAGCGAAGAAGACTCTGGTTGTTCGGACACCAAAAGTTAATAGGGGAAGCCTTAACCCCGACTCGGCCCCCTTGACCAAAAGACCTGAACAGTCAACAGTACGTAAAGTTCACCTTTGGACATAAAAATCATTTTATACTAAATACAGCTTGATGTTTGCTTAAAATAATACTGTGCCCGTTTAATTTCTGCTAAATATTTAAATCAAAATCAAAGAGCAGTTGGAATAAAACATATTTGTAAGTAGCATTTTTGAGATTACAAACTCGTCTGAATATGCATAAGCAGCATTACACAGCTTGAAAGTGAAATAAGCAAGGTCGTATGATAACTTGCGCTGTGTGAGGGTAAAACTAAACTATAAGAAATGTTAACTAGAGAATACTAGAGAGTATAAAGCGATTTATCTCATCAGTTTAAGATATAATTTAATATTTCTACAAAACGTTTAAATTTAAAGATGGAGATAATGCTAATAAATACGATGGAGTTCATTGTGGTCGTATTCAGCTGAAGATGAATGATCAGTCTGTCCTAACCTCAACACTTGTAGTTTTAAAGATCTGGATGCTTCACCTATATGTGCATTTTCATGATTAATACAAGTGGTAAAATACTTATGAATTTAATTTTTAGGGCGACTTAACATATCTTTTAA